AGTCTTTGATCAAAGTAGAACAATACTCAAGACAGCTCTCTCATCTCCAATAATGCCAACCCTTTTATCCCAGGACCGCAAATCCCAGCAAGGAAGATTTAGAATGGAAGTCACTGCCCTCAATCCTCTTATATGAGAAGATAAAACCAGCTCCCAGATCTGCTTTACACATTCAGTCCTGTAAGACTCACTGGACATCAAATCTGTTTGCCTCCCCGTACTTTATAGCCTCGTGGTTGATTCCAAATACTATGCAACAGCTCCTAGATGACAGACTCCCAGCTGGCCTAAAAACCCAACTCATTCTCCTCCACTCCACTCCAAGACAAAGTCTCAGTCTTCAGGGGTTTGCAAGATTAGCAGTCATCCACATGGGCACTCCAAAGAATTACCTAAAGGTATGACCCAAATGACACAGCAAATGAAATGCAGGTATATCATGTAGTAATTAATACAGGCTTATTTCATTACTATAATCTACCTTTCTAAAACTGCGAAGAACTCTTGGAAATACTTTAGCTTTTAAAATTGATATATAATTACTTACCTCTCCTTAGAATTTATTTGTTGATGCTAATTACAACCTTAATAAAAATTAAAATTACTGAGATTTAAATTTGAAATCTGACTCTGAAAATGATGACTCAAGTGACCTTAGAGAAATAAACTTAACCTCTGTGTTCCCGGGGAATGACAAAAACACTGCCTCAGAGGAGCGCTCTGTTGTTCTGTGGATTTAACAACTAATGCACTTTGAACAAAATGCAAAACACTTTGTTGGGTTTTTTTGTTGTTGGTTTTTTTGGGGGGTTTTGGAGTTTTTTTTTTAGACAGAGTCTCGCTGTGTAGCCCCAGCTAGAGTGCAGCGGCATCATCATAGTTCATTGCAACCTCAAACTCCTGGGCTCAAGCAATCCCCCTGCCTCAGCCTCTCAAGTAGCTGGGACTACAGGCACATGCTGCCACACTCAACTAATTTTTCTATCTTTTTGTAGAGACAAGGGTCTCGCTCTTCCTCAGGCTGGTCTCAAACTCCTGACTTCAAGTGATCCTCCCCCCTTGGCCTCCCAGATTGCTAGGATTACAGGCATGAGCCACCACGCCTGGCCAAAATGCAAAGCGCTTTGAACAGTGCCTGGAACAAAGTAAATACTCAATACATGTTAATTATTGTAATCTATCATCATTGTAACCATCATCATCATATCACTAGAACATCAATGTCACATGGATGGTAATTTTAGTCTGTTTTGTTCCCTGCTGTATCGCCAGTGACTGACACATAGTTGGCACTCAGACATTTGTTAAATGAATTAATTATGATTACTAATACTTCTATTATTAAGAGCAGGATAATTTTACCAAAATGTGATATCCTCTGGGAGAAAAGATAAATTTAGCATTAAAAAACATTGCTGCCTAGAAATTTATGAGAGGTGAGAAATAAAGAACTGCTAGTAGCCCAAATGCAACGGTTATTCGAAGAAAAGAGGGAAGGCTACCCCCAAGGCAAGGAAGCATCTCTTCGGATTAAACTAACCTACAAACCCCACTCTACAGACAGCGTAAGCACTAGGGAAAGGAAGTAACAGCAAGCACCCAAATCCGGGGGGCTCACTCAGATGCACGTGCAGGTGGGAGCAGGCTCGTTGAGAACAATTTGTAGCCGCCACACAATGAAGTACCAGCCTCTCAGCCTCTCGCCTGCCTCTCTCCACCACACTAGAAACTCCAACTGTCCACGTGCTCTCAGGACTCAAGGGCAGGCTCTCCAGGAATAACTTTCGTCCACCTAACCACCCCTGAGGATCACATAAATTGGCTACTGGTTCTTGACCTTCTGCCAGAAGCAGCAGAGGTTTATGGACAGGGAAAGGTACTTCGCTCTAACCACTTTCATCTCTTAATCGTAAGAACCCTCGAAGGAGAACTGAGAAAAATGCTGAGGCGTCATCAGGCCTCACAGAAAACAGCCCTCCACTTCCCTGGTTCACCCTTATTCCAGACTTCTACTAAGTCATACACGGGCTAACCATGTGAGCATCACCCAGTGAGCACGCTAAAGCACTTCTCAAACACAGAGCAGCCTTTAAAAACAACGTATTTCTTGAGAACAGCAAACTTCTACAGTTTGAACACAAACTGACTCGCCAGCAGAGCTAGTCTGACCTGATCCGTGAAAGATGGTCCTAAGAAAAAGCTTGCGCGTCCAAGGTGCTCAGGCAAGTTTGAAATTCTCCAAGTTGCGATTTCCTCATCTGACATAACATAGACAGTAAAAATGCGTGCCACTTGGGTGACAGAAGACAATTTATACAAAGTGCTTGGCATACTGCCTGGTACACAGTGATCATTCTGTAAATGTCAGGAACTTTTCTTCTGTGCCCACTCTTCAAATAATTATTTACCAAATATCCGGAATCCTGGTTAAAGACAAACATTTTGCCTCACCCCTTCCACCTGATCTTTTACACGGAATCACAGCCCAATTATTCTGGTTTGCCTATGTTTAGTGATCGCTTTTGTCTAACAAAGGTTCAGGAAAGGCTGCTTCAAAGGATAGGCAAGTTGAGGAGTCTACACCTCAAAGAAAGCCCCCTCAGGATCACAAGGACAATTAGGAGAGTGCTTTTAGTCCACCTGAGAAATCAAGTCAGTAACTAGTAAAACTCAGCCTCAATTTCAGCACTGCAGTCCCGAAGTCAAACATGGCAATATGCAGCCCTGGGTGCCCCCCGATCATGAGTGGACATGGCAGCACTCAAACTGTAGAGGAACTGGAGGCAAACTACCAGCCAAGGACAGCACATGGCCTTGAATGAACGTGAATGGTTAAGTGTCGTCCACAGTTAATCCCTTTCTTTAGTCCCTATAACCTCGCTAATTTTCCTTTCTAGATCAAATCCTGAAAATTCCTAATTACTTTAAGTCCCTCAATCTTTTCAAACTGTAAATATTTTGTTAAAATAAGATGCTAAAGGTTATATAAAGTCAACATAAAGTTAGTTTTTCCTTGAACATTGAAATAGAGTCAACTGACTTATTCAGATGTTCATTTGTTATTCAACATTATAAAATACTATAATATACAGTTACTAACACAGATAGTCTTTTACTCCAATTGTCCTGGTTCATAGCAGTCTCTCTTTCCTGTTGTTAGGGGGGAAAGTGATCAGAGTCCTAAAACAATGAACAGACCAATGACCTAGCAGACAAGAGTCTGGGGGTCTAATCCTAACTCTAGTGCTGACTTGCTGAATAACCTAGGGAAATCACACCTTCTCAGTGTCCTTCCCTCCTCTATATAATGATGGTAATGTGACTCTAGTTCTAAAATCACAGTAAGTATGCCAAGGGAATATTTTTTAAATTCTGTGATTAATATGCATACAAAAACAGTAGGAAATCAAATAGAACTGGAAATGTTATTTTTTTGTCTTCAATGTGTACATCCAAGTCCCTTAAATCTGAAATTATAACAAATCATTTCATTCCCTAAACTTCAACTACTCTGTCAAGCATATACTATCCAATTCTCCCCAGTACCCTGACAATTTCTCGCTTCTACCCAACCAACAAGGATTGCATCATATCATTTTATTCTATGGTTATAGACTTGTGTAACAGGCAATTTCCCAGCAAGTTTTCTGCAAGAGAATAAACATTAGTAACTATGGACTAATTTAATTATCAAATATTTCAAGTACCTAGCCTGTACCAGTCATGCCAGATACCAAGATAGGTAAGTGACATTTCTTCCTATGTCCAAAGAGTCACAATCCTGTAAAGAAATAGCATGGGTACCATCACTCTCATCCCTCTCTCAGGCAGACATCACTAATCGATCATGGGCCTCTTTCCCTTGAATTGGATACAGCCTCGGTGCCAGGACACTTCCTATCTGTTAGACCTCAAGCAAATCAAACTCTCATGCCTGCCTCACTTTCCACATCTATAAAGTGGAGATAATGAAAGTACCCCCTCAAAGAGTTTGCTGTAAGAACTAAATGAGTTAATATTTGTCAAATGAATGGAACATAATAAGCACAATGTGTATTAGCTATTATCATCTTTATTTCAGTGCTATGTTGGCCACTACCAACATGTGTAGCCAGGGGCATACACATCCCATCTTTTCTACAGCAATGCGTTGGCAGGATTATTTCATCGCCACTGAATCTAAAACTTTGATGAGAGAGAGCTTTATGGCCCTACCTACTGCAACGCCTCTAAGAGATGACTGCCACAAACTAACCGTGCTTAGCCTGCGACGGGGGCTTCCAACATTCAGGACAGCTCCTCCTGATTGCTCAAGGAACTCGTTTCTTTGCAAATGGAACCCTCGCCTCACTTCTGGACCAGTCTCTCAGATACACTTCAAAATGTGTGAACATTAACCTCAGAAGTTCGTGGGATTAAAAAAAAATTGTGAGGTTTGTCCCCACACATTTCCTAGTTGGTGACTCCACAGCACTATTTTCTTTTTTCCCCTCCTTTCTATCTGGAAATCCAGTGAGGGGAAACGAAAACAGCAAGACAGCCCTTTCCTGCTTCCCCAGCATTAGCAGGTAAGCGACTCTTGCGCTGAGATAACTCAAGAGGATCCCACACACACATAAATCGCTGATAAGCGGGCGCTAGGATCTGCGAAGACGAAATTCCAAGTGCATCCTCAGGGAAGAAACGAGCGCTGCGGTCACCTGATGGACACATGAAGTAGGGTAGTGCTGCCCAGGTGAACAGACCACATCCCGCGCAAAACACACGCTCGGACCCCTGCCCCCTCCAGAGGAAGCCCAGAAGCATTCGGTGCATTCGGCACATTCCACACGCAACACACTCCCCCCAACCACATTTTCTGTCCGGCCTCCCGGCAGCAGACACCTTCCGGGACACCCAGAGGGCTGTTCCTGGAGACACCGGCAGCCCCGAACGGAGGGAGAGCGGGGACACGTGCCCAGACGGCAGCAGGCCTTGCTCGCCCCCGCCTCCGCACTCACCTGGCCGGTGATGCCAGTGATGAGCGCCACCTTCCTGGGCTTGTCCATCTCGCCGTCCCCGGAGCCCCGGGCGCCAGGGCAGCGTGCCGGCGCGTGTGCCATGTCCCGGCAGCTGGCGTGCGGCCGCGGCGGGGCGGAGCGGAGTGCCGGCGGCAGCGCCGGCAGGAACGTGGGGGTGTGCCCGCGCGGGAGCCGCCTCGCCAGGCTGCAGGCAGAGGACGAGCGCACCGTGGGGCGGGCCTCCACAGTCTGACAGGGGTGCGCGGAGACCGCGCGGGGAGGGCCGGGGGCGGGCCGAGGCGGGCCGAGGCGGGCCCAGGGGCCGGGCGGCGGGGCTGCTGCCTGCCGGGCGCCGCGTCATTGGCGTCAGCCGGCGTCGCTGCGGCGGCGCCCGCGGCAGGCCCCGCCCCTCCGCCGACGCCGGCCGCTCGAGAGGGGCGGGGCCAGCCGCCGCCGCGGCCCGGGCGGCTCCGCGGCCTCAGGGAGAAGGAAGGGTTCCGGGTCTGGCGCCACCACCCCACCGCCCTGCCCTCGCCTCTCTCTTGGCTGGGCTGAGGGCGGGCCACGGTGGCCTCCATGTCCTCCCTTCCGCCCTCCCAAATCTCCCAGAAATCCTGAGGTCACCCGGGGATGCTGGGAGGAACTGGGGGCTGACCTGTCCGTGAGGAAAAAGCTCTGAATTTCAAATCCGGGCCTCGGAAGGCCGGGGCCGTGGGCTTTGATAAATAACTCCTGGAAGCCTGTTGCAGCGCCTTTCCAGGAGTCTGGTTTTATGTTGTTTGAAGGGCGCTAGCGTTACAAGGCCCCTAATGGGGCCACAGATGTGGGGGAATGGCGACCCTCAGGCCTAGTCTGACTCTGGCTCTTCTGGCACTTCCCTGAGGCCCGAAGCCTGGCACGAGGTTCGAGTGACCCGACCGAAAGAATTCTGGTTCAGAAGACTGCGGTGCGCAAGAAAGTCCCTGGCCCTACGCGTGTGCGGCATCAGGAAATGTTGAAAGATCGCACGGATCAGTGGAGCCGGACGTGGCAAATTTTGGAGAAAGTAATTCAAACATAAGGCGGGGACCCAGCTTCATGTCTATTGAATTTGGCTTCCATTTGACAGCTGCACGTTGGGCAGGGAGGTGACTCAGACCCAGGGAGGGTAGCAGGTGCCTAAGCAGTTGGCTGGAACCCAGGGCAGAGACAGAAACTTACCGGTCTCCATCGCTCTGCTCGTCCGTACATATTCCGCTCCCCAGTAGATAACCTCAGATCATCACTTCGAATCCCAGAGTTCCCAGGACAGTGCCCAGGATAACATGGAGGAGGTGATGCAGACCTGGAATCCCAAAATCAGAAAAGCTCAGGATGAAATTAAAAACCTCCTTCTCCCCCAAGCCCTTAGGAAAACCCCTTAGCTTTATAGATAAAGGGACTTGCTGGTTTCACACGTACCCTCTCCGCTTTGCATTCTATAAGGGAAATGACTGAACAGACAGATGTCTCTTCGGCCAGTGGAAGGCTGCATCTGAGTGGTAAGTGAAGCAGAGGAGAGTAAACACTTTCAGAGGAACTTGCTATGAGCAAGAACTGTCTTTCAAACCTACTAGATTATTTTAAAACTTCTGTTTGTTTTCATGTAAATATGCTTTATTTTTTTCTCTTTTTAGGTGGATAACATTTAAAAAAACATGTAAACATCCTTTAAATTAATGTGTGAATAAATTACTTAACATTGCCCCAAAAATCACTGAACAAAGCTGATACTTATGGTAGATGTGCTACATTTATCCTGTAGATTTCAGACCCATCACACCACTGAGCACTAGAAATGGACGCCATTCAATTTCCAATCACACCACTGAACACCTGTCTTAGTAAGAAGTATGACAGTAGAAGAAATTATACAAATAAAATCAATATTGTTAGGAGCTGAAAATAAAATATTCACAAAATAATAGGAAATGGTAGGTCAGAGATACTGTGGAAGGTTAAAAAATGAAGGATATTTCTCTAGAAAACTTCCCTGAAGACAGGTAGTAGGGCTGCTATAGCAACATACCATCTGTGGGGTGACTTAAACAATAGAAATTTATTTCCTCACAGTTCTGAAGGATGGAAGTCCAAGATCAAGGGTTGATTTCTTCTGGCCTCTCACCTTTGCTTGTGAACAGCTGTCTTCACGTTCACGTGACATTCTCCCTTGTTATTTATGTGTCTGTGTCGAAATTCCCTATATTCTTATAAGAACAGCAGTTATATTAATATTTAATTAGGGCCCAATGACCCTAATGACCAAGTTTTTACTTAATTACCTCTTTACAGCCATGTTTTGAGCTACTGTCTGTTAAGACATCAACATATGAATTGGGAGAAGGATATGCTTCAACCCATGATAGACAGAAGGAAAAAGGTTTTTCATGCTTGTTTGTTTGGGGACTGGGAGGGAGGAAGTTGGCGATGGGGGTTGTTGTTGCAATTTTCCCCTTGACATTAGGGCATTTTGAACAAAGTCAGCACAGGGTCTAGGGTAAGCACAAGAAGATTACCTTAACTAGCAGCAAATCTACATGCTACAGTACAGTGGAAACCCCTAAGGTGTGTTGGCCTAACTTGTGTTTTACTCTAACACTATGGTCTCCAACCCCCAGAGCCATGAGCTTCATCTCCACCCCCCAACCTCCACCCTCCATTTGTGGAAAAATTGCCTTCCATTAAACCGATCCCTGGTGCCAGAAAGGTTGGGGATCGCTGCACTGGTTATCAACCATAAGTGATGATGTCCCCCAGGGGACATTTGACAATGTCTGGAGACATTTTTGACTGTCACAACTGGAGTTGTGCTATTAGTGAATGAAGGCCAGGTCAACATTCTACAATGCAGGAGAGCCGCCACAACCCAGAATTACCTGGCCCAGATGTCAACCATGCTGAGGTTAAGAAGCCTTTCTCCAGGAGGTGATAAAAGGCCAGTGAAAGATGATAACAAGCACACAGTTGAACCCACAAACACGCTGGCTATAATATTCAGTGACTACATAGTATGTTATAGAAGAAGCAAATAAATTTTGTAGCTAATTGATAATGCTCATATCTTCACTCACAAACATTGATAAACTCCAAAAACATACTACCTGCTGAGTGTACAGAAATAGAGAACAAATAATCTTTGAGGAACTGTAGTCTAAATGTGATAGAATAATGTATAATTTTATGACTTTCACAGCATTTTTATATTCATTTTAACATGATATAAAGTATGGAGACAAGGCCAAGGCCTCCAACTCCAAGTTCCCTAACTGGATAAAAGTCAATCATCCTACACAAAACTTAGTTAAGTTGAATAACTTTTCTCATGTCTTTATTTCCCAACTCTTGCCATTGAGTAGAAATGCCAATTATTCAAGAATCATTCCTCTGCTTCCCTCTCCAAATTATCTCTTTTCTCCTTTTCTTATCTTTCCTTCCTTTGCTTTCCACTGGTGGAACGTTTATTAATCTTCTTTCACCTTACCTAAGATTGAGCAAACAATGGTAATGGCTAGCATGGATTGAGTAAGCGTCTAAGATGTGCCAGGCACTGTGCGATATCTCAGTTAATTCTAAGAGGTAAGTATGTGTGATATTGTAAATTATATATTTGGTCTTCAACCCCATTTCCTGGCACACAACCCCTAAAATCCTTAGACTACAAATGAATGGGGCTTTGTGTGCTAGTGAGTTCAGTGGTGGCTTGTGGCCTTAGGTAGCTTCAGAGTGATGAGGTTGGTCACTGGAAAGACCAAGACAAGAGTAGAGGGCTGGGACTTTGAGCCCCACCCCCCAACCTCTGGGGAGGGAGGCCAGTGGTTAAGTTGATCACCACCTTTCCCAGACCATGCATCTAACATATTGGAAGTAAATTGAGCTTCTGCCCATTAGATGTGTTCCTGCTCAATCTGGCAGGTGGAAGTGAAAGAGAAGCCATCATTCTGCTCCTGGTCCAACTGATGCGAAGGTTTGTGACAGATAGATTCCAAGTTTGGGTCTAGTCACCAGTTTCATGGACATGAGAGCCACTTGGGTGGTGACAGTGGGGTGGCAGCAGGAGCAATTTCCTAAATTCTGGCCTTCAGCTATGGTGGTGTGTCATTGACATCAATAGCCAGCAACGGTCTTCAGAGTTCTGTTCCTCCATCCTTTATATGACGTTTTTTAACTGATAATTGGAGATTCAAATGTATTTGTAAGAAATAATACAGTGACATTGTCATGTCTTTGAAAACTATAGAGCAATATTATAAGTAAGATATTGACATTGATATAATTTGCCAATCTTATTCAGATTTCCCGTTTGTGTACTCATTTGTGCAAGCATGTGTATATTTAGTTCATACGGTTTTATTGTATGTGTACATTCGTGCATCCACCACCACAGTCAAGATTTTAAAACCATAAGTATGCCTATGTTGCCCTTTTATAAATATACCACCTCCCTTCCTCCCCATCCCTAACCTCTGGAAACCACTACTCTATCCTCCTTTGCTAAAATGTTGTCATTTCAAAAAGTATTATAAATGAATTATACAGCTTCTGATCTGTTGGGGTTGGCTTTTTTTCACTCAACTCAAGTTTCCAGCACAGTCGTCCAAGTTGTCGTGTGCATTGATAGTTCGTTCATTTTTATTGTTGAGTAGTATTCCATGGTATGGATATACCATCATTTACCAATCACTTATTGAAGGATATCTGGGCTGTTTCTAGTTTGGGGCTGCTACAAATAAAGCTACCATGAACATTCATGTGTGGGTTTTTGTGGGAACCTAAGTTTTCATTTTGCCCAAGAGTGCAATTGCTGAGTCCTATGGTAATTGTATCTTTAGGGTTTTTTAACTGCCAATTTTGTTTTCTTGCAAGGATTTTGTATAGCATTTCCTGCACTAAGTCCCTTTCTGCTTGAAATGCCTATAGCAGTGTCCAGCTCTAAGTCCCAGCTGATACAGACAAGAATCAAACTCCAGACCCAGTGCTCTTTACCAAGACCCAAAGACCATTGAGATGGCCCCATGGCTGTGCGAGTATGGTTAAGAGAGAAAGGTGGGGCAACAGAAAGCATACGGCAGAGAAGTAGAGACCTTTTCCTGTTACCTTCTCTCCATTTCAAGATTTAACCAGTTTTCCCGTTCAGGAAATAAACAGGATGGAAGCACTGGATTTTGAAATAAAATCTTATAAAATCCAATATCG